TCTCAATGCTTTGCAGACACCTAAGATGGATGCCAGCACATGGAGCAGCACAAGGTCTGAGGAAAGGTAGGACCTTGACACCATTACAAAAAGCTTGCAGCAAACAGACAATAATGGCAACATACAGTGAAAAAAATGAGCTGTCATGACAAAAAAAAAAAAAAATGGGCAATCTTGATGATAGACAGGCAACAAAACGATAACTGTGACAGTACTTGGGCAGTAGACAGGCAAATGTTGCAATTGCTAGCAGCAAATAGGCAAGTGTTACAATCCGTGAGCAATGATAATAAAAATTACAACTGAAAGTCATTCTGTCTCCCAGTGCTCCCACTTACTTTTACTACCTGTCTCCAGGAAGCAGAATACAGAGACCCTCTTTAGTTTTGGTTCCCGGTTTCTGGACCTTGAAATTTCCTACTGTGTTCTCCCCTGCTCCAGCTCTCCCCTCTGGCCTCTGTGAGTGTGTATAGCCAGAGGGAAGAGTTGGAAGAGGAAAGAGCAGAATTGGAACTCCCAGAGGCCTAGAGACATGGTAAAGAAATTGATTTTTCAAAGTTTTTGTGCAAAAGTCAGAGTTACTAGCTACGTACATAACCAAATACACTATACTTGGAGGAATTCCTACAGGATACAGGAAGCTGTTCTTCATCTGTCAGTTATTTAGGAAAATAAAAGGGTCCAATTACCAACTATTACTAACCCTATTATATATTTTTGAAGAAATATTGAAGGACAACATTGTGTAACATCAGCACAAATTGACAAAAATAAGGACACAAGGTGGGATCTAGTGGTTATTTCAGAACCGTGGTACTGAGAATTATTGTAAGCAGCTGATGAAAAAATTATATACGTTGTTTAAATCACAGCATTTCTTAAAACCCATATCATAGAAAAGTTAAACCACTCTCCCAATCCTACCTCCTGCCTCTGCCTACTTCATCAATTTTTGTCACTTCAGTCTGTTCTTGCTCCAACCAGTCCTGTTGTAGTCAATTATGTCACTGTACTCTTAAGAACCTGAGAGCATCTCATCACCTGAGAGGATCTCATCACTTGACAACTGGTAGCCCATGTCACTCAGATCATGTGCATCCTGAAGAACCGTGGTACTGCAAGCTATTATAAGCAGCTGATGCAATAATAAGCATGTAGGCTCACAAAACATTATATGCAATGCTTAAATCACAGTATTTCTTAAAACCTATATCATAGAAAAGGTAAACCACCTTCCCAATCCTACCTCTTGCCTCTGCCTACTTCATCAATTTTTGGCACTACAGTCTGTTCTTGCTCCAACCGGTCCCGTTGTAGTCACTTAATTATGTCACTCTACTCTAAGAACCTGAGAGGATCTCATCACCTGAGAGGAACTCATCACTTGACAACTGGTACCCCATGTCACTCAAATGATGAGGATCCGGAAGAAGGACCTTCCTACTCTGCAGTGAGGAAGAGAGAAGTGAGCTTTTAAACTAGGATTTTTTAAATATAATAACATGACATTTATTCAGGGGTTGAGAGCAGTGGTGGACTGACAACTCATGGGGCCCCCGGGCAATAGGGGATCATGGGGCCCCTGTGTCCTTGCCCAAACTAAAAATAGCCTATGAAAAAGGTACCAGGGGCATCTCATGAAGCCCCCTACTGACCCCGGGCCCTCAGGCAGTGCCCGAGTTTCCAAATGGTCAGTCCACCCCTGGTTGAGAGGGAAAGACTTGATGCTTGAAATCATCTTTAAATCATGTTAAATTAAGGAAAATGGAGTAAAGCTTTGTGTCGGCATCCACAAATACATGCAAGTACCGCATATTTCTTATCAATATGTAACAGTATCTTAAGTAAAAACAACTTAATGGTTGTATTATTGTTCCGATGTTAGTATCTTTGGATAGAATGGCCTTGAGTTCTGTATTGTAGTAATACAAATAGCAGTTCATCTGTTAATATATAGTCTCCTAATCCGATTCAGGCTCTTTTTCACAGATTAGTGTTGTGATTAATATCATTCTTATACTTAACCTGTTTTTCAAAACTTTGTATAGTGTAAACACAAGAATGGCCTTATCTTTTTAAGAAGATTATGCATAAAGCCCCCAAAGAAAAGGACTATTTTCAAGAGTTCATGCAGGTATGCTGGCAGAGAAAAGAGATGGAAATAAAAGAAAGGAAAATGGGAAAATATGCGTATGCTGCTGATTTGTAAATTGTATTGCTTGTGTTCAGTATAAATGAATAAATGTGATACATATGGTTGTACTGATTGTTATTTTTGGGCTAGTAGTAAATATTAATGAGTAGAATTACTGAATAAAACAAATGCAAATTTCATTAACTGTAGCCTGACGACATGTACTCTTGTTGCCACCTTTTATCCTTCACCGTTTATCTGGCATTAAAAACCACTGTTGGAATGTGCTGACTGAGTGAATAATCTCCACAGACAGAAAAGCTGCACATTGATGTGCTAGGTCTTTAGCTCGACATCTTATGCCACAGTGATCATTCTTCATTCTCTTCTGCTAAAGTTATTTTTGAAGTTACGAGGACATCACATTGACATTAAGACTTCTTCAAAGTAAGCTTATAAGAATGAATTGGCAGTAGTGATTTTTTTTACATATTGTACAGGTTTTTTGGCTAGCTGTTACTGCCTGTGGGTGAACATAGCTTGCTGTTCTACATGAACAAAAAAGGAAAAGTATATTTCTCTAAGTATAATTTTCTTGACATTTTTGGCAGCTCCTCAAAAAAAAAAAAAAAAGTTTTCAATCCTTTTAAACATGAAAACATTCATCCTCTTCTAAGCATTTATAAAAGGAAAACACCTTTAAGGTGTTAATTTTTACCAGTATGCAATTTCAGCCTACATTTCATTACACTTATAAGTAGAGTATGTAAACATTAAAAGTAATGAATAAGAATGGTGAATTCCATTCCGTTTTCAAAAATGTACATTGACTGGAAATGTAAATCTTATTTGGTGTGACTGCAGAATAATGTAGATGTTTTGGAAAGGAATCATATTTTAGGAAATTTAAGGAGACATTAAAGGTGGGTCTCTCTTCAATAACTTTATAATACTGTAAAAAAACAAATTTGTTATCTTTTGAGGAAATAAGGTATTTCTATTGATAAATTAAAAAAAATTTATTTTTAAAAAAAAAAAAAATTACCATTGGTAAGATATTAATGCATTTTATGTGACAATTATAAATATCAGAATGTATAGGCCATAAAAAAAAGTACATTCTTATAGATAAACACTTGTGAAAATTACAGCTGAACCATTGAATGCAGTAAGTAAAAATGTGCAAAAATTACATTTTAGACATTTGTTTTATACTTTTGCTTAGTTTTAGAATGTTGTTTGTGTGTGTGTGCATTGTAGAACACATAAAATCGCTAGTAGCAACAGTTAATTCATAGGCAAATGTCTGCTATACATATTATATTTGCCTTGGCTCAGATCCTAAGCATTACGAATTCACTGCAGACGTTTTTGCAGCTGTGCGCTTTTTTTCTCTTTTTTTTTGGCTTACATTTTCATTTAACAAACAGGAAAAAAATCTTGTGGCACAAAGATGTTTTCTGTGATCATTGCATTAACTTCTCAAAGCCCATGACCAGTGTTAACAGCCAAAATTATTGGTTGACAGGCTGTCAGGGAATTTAAAGAATACTCTTACCACCTGGTCGTTGCTAAAAAAATTAAACTATGCAAACACCTTACTCCCTGACCCAGTATGAAATGGCCTGACTTCAATGTGCTAGACCAAATATATGCGCTTCTCATGCTTTCAAAGACATGTACAATCTTATACAAAACTGTTTTTAATAAGTTGTTATTTTCTTATTTGATATTTGCATGTTTCTTTATCAGTGCTAGTAGTCTTGTGTTTCTGCATGTTATGGTTAAATGTCTAAATTTTTTACTTTGTACAGCACTGCAGAACAAATTGTAGCTACATATACTGTATATGTATACATATACACATAAATTAGTCATAATTAGAATCATCTGAAATTATGCAACTTTATGACTTCGATAGTATTGTTGTTTATAAATGCCACAGCAGTATTCAGGTACATTTTGATAGTACAAATTATTTATAAAAAATGTTAAATAGATGGTAACAGTTATGACAAATAAGATGAAAATGTAGAGCAGCAATAGGACTTCAAAACATTAACAAGTATTGTGGTTTGTGTTTCCTAAAATGAAGAAACTGTGATGCAACAATTTTGAGATCACATTTTCTAATTTATTACTTTTACTCATAAGATACTGACATACTGTATTTTATGATACGTTACAGAGAACTCTGGATCATTCAAATATTGTTATTATTATTATACAGGATTTATATATAGCGCCAACAGTTTGCGCAGCGCTTTACAATATAACGGGAGACAATACAGCAACAATACAGTTCAATACAAGAGGGATAGGAGGGCCCTGCTTCTTGGAGCTTACAATCTAGGAGGGAGGGGCTAGTGGTACAAAAGGTAGTAACTGTGGGGGATGGACTGGTTGGAAGAATAGAATATTCCATTATCAGCTGAGGGCAGGATAGGCTTCCCTAAAGGGATAGGTTTTCGGAGATCGCCTAAAAGTGAGCAGAGTAGGCGATAGTTTGATGAATTGGGGTAGAGAGTTCCAGAGGATGGCGGAAGCTCTGGAGAAGTCCTAGAGACAAGCATGGGAGGAGGAGACAAGGGAGCTAGAGAGCAGGAGGTCTTGCGAGGAGCGGAGAGTACGGTTTGGGTGACATTTAGAGACAAGATCGGTGATGTAATTTGGGGCAGAGTTATAAATGGCTTTATACGCTATTGTTAATGTTTTGAATTTTATATCCGTTGGGCAATGGGAAGCCAGTGGAGGGATTGACAGAGAGGGGTGGCAGATACAGAACAGTTAGTAAGGTGGATGATTCTGGCAGCAGCATTCATGATAGACTGAAGAGGGGATAGCCTGCGATTAGGTAGGCCAATGAGAAGGGAGCAGGGGTGGACTGAGCATTTGGAAGTCGGGCACTGCCCGAGGGCCCAGGGTCAGTAGGGGGCCCCATGAGATGCCCCTGGTACCTTTCATAGGCTTTTTTGCGTGCAGTTTGAGTGTGGGTGAGGACACAGGGGCCCCATGATCCCCTATTGCCCGGGGGCCCCATGAGTTGTCAGTCTGCCCCTGGGAGGGAGTTACAATATTTAAGGCGAGCTATAACAAGGGAGTGAATAAGTTGCTTAGTGGTTTCCGAGGTTAGGAAAGGGCGTATCTTGGAGATGTTGCGGAGGTGAAGTCTACAAGATTTGGACAGTGAATGGATTTGGGACTGAAAGGACAGATGGGAGTCTAGGATTACACCTAGTACCCTGGCGGGAGGGGAGGGGAGGGATGATTGTGTTATTGATCTTGATGGAGAAGTCAGGGGAGGGGGCACGGGCTGGAGGGAATACTAAGAGCTCAGTTTTGGAAAGACTGAGTTTGAGGAAGTGGAGTGACATCCATGCCGATATGTCACTTAGTAGGTTAGTAATGCGAGAGGAGATTGAAGAGGTGAGGGGGGTAGAAAGATAGATTTGTGTGTCATCAGCATAGAGATGGTACTTAAAGCCATGGGAGTTTATCAAGTGACCAAGGGAGGAGGTGTAGAGGGAGAAGAGAAGGGGTCCAAGGACAAAACCTTGAGGGACCCCTACAGAAATAGGGAATGAAGAGGAGGAGGCAGGGTTATAGGTAATGCTGAAGGAGCGCTGCGATAGGTAGGAGGAGAACCAGGAGAGAGCAGAGTCTCTGAGGCCAAGAGAGTGGAGTTTTTTGAGGAGGAGGGGATGGTCAACCGTATCAAAAGCCGCAGAGAGGTCACAAGTAGTAAAAGTACGGAGTAGTGGCCATTGGTTTTAGCAGTTAGTAGATCATTAGTGAGTTTTAGTAGGGCAGTTTCAGTGGAGTGTAGTGAGCAAAAGCCAGACTGTAGAGGGTCAAGAAGGTTGTTGTCAGTGAGGCAGGAGCTCAGGCGATTGTTGACTAAGCGTTCTAGGAGTTTAGATGTAAATGGCAGCAGGGAGATGGGTCTTAAGTTGTTCAGGTTGATGGGGTCCAGGGAGGGCTTTTTAAGTATGGGAGTGAGGTGTGCATGCTTTAGAGGGGAGGGGAAGGCACCAGTAGAGAGGGAAATATTGAAGATGTGAGTGAGGGAGCATAGGTTAGAAAAAGTGGGTGACCATAGTAGTTGTGAGGAGACAGGATCCAGGGGGCAGGTAGTGAGATGGGCTTCTGAGAAAACCTTAGTGACCTCTTCGGTAGTAGCAAGATCAAAAGAGGAAAGTGTTGAGGGATTTTTAGTATCAGGTATACTAAGTGGGATGGATGTCTGTGCAGTGGCGATGCCCCTATGAATTGCATCAATCTTGTTTTTGAAATGATTCGCAATCTCATGAGCAGTGAGTGAGGTACTGGGTGGAGGCGAAGGTGAAGAAAGTAGAGTAGAAGTAGAAAGTAGAGTAAAAGTAGAGAAGAGACGACGAGGACTGGATGACAAGATATTAATAAGAGTGACAAAGTAGGCTTGTTTGGCAGCATGAAGGGAGGAATTGTATGTTAATAAAGCAGATTTATATAGGGTGAATGCTTGTTGAGATTTGGTTTTACGCCACAATCGCTCCAGCACACGGCTATGTCGTTTAAGATTTATGGTGTCATCAGTCTGCCAAGGTTGTAATGGTCGGGGCCTGATGCTTCGTGTTGTTAGAGGAGCAAGTGAGTCTAATGTGGATGAAAGCGAACTGTTGTAGACAGTAGTGGCCAAGTCAGGGCAAGACAGGGAAGAGATTCTGTCCTAGAGTTGGTCAGTTGCAGAGTGGAAAGGAGCAGGGTTCATGTTGTGAAGGTTTCTGCGGGTAATTGTTTGCTGCTTGGAGGGATAGGTGTTTGAAGATGAGGACACTGTGAAGGTGATGAGATTGTAATCAGAGAAAGGAAAGGGGGTGTTTGTGATGTTGTATTGAGTGCAAAGACAGGAGAAAACAAGGTCTAATGTATTCCCATCAGAGTGAGTGGAGGACTGTATACATTGTGCTAATGCAAAAGATGAGGTTAAGTTGAAGAGTTGGGATGTAGCTGGGTTGTTCACATTTATAGGGATGTTAAAATCTCCGAGATTGATAGTGGGTAGTTCAGAGGAGAGAAAGTACGGTAGCCAGGGGGAGAAATCATCAAGAAAGCGGGACACCAGTCCAGGAGGCCGATAGATCACTGCAATCCTCAGAGAAATGGGAGAAAACAGCCGGATGCAGTGAGTCTCGAAAAAAGAGAAGGATAGAGAGGGAGGGTTAGGGAGGACTTGAAAGGTGCTCAGTGGGGATAGAAGCAAACCAACTCCACCACCTTTCCGACCACTGGGTCTGGGTAAGTGGGTCTAGAAAAGGCCTCTATAGGAAAGTGCGAAGGGGAGAAGAAGAATCTGCTGCTTGAAGCCAGGTTTCTGTAATTGCTAGTAGGTTAAGGTCGCGGGAGACAAAAAGGTCATGGACAGACGTGAGCTTATTACAGACAGAGCAGGCATTCCAGAGCGCACATGAAAAAGGGAGGGTGGTTTTTGGGAGCACGGGGACTGATATTAAATTAAGGGGATTGCGGCTATTCCTGGAAGAAAGAGGAAGCCTGGTGTGGGGGTGAGATACTGGAGGACCCGGGTTAGGGGAGATATCCCCAGAGGTTAGGAGAAGAAGAAGGGTGAGGAAAGTAAGATCGGAGCAGGATATATATACCTGTGCACATGCCTTCCTGTCCTGGTGTTTGGGTCAGCAGGTGAGTGAAGTATCAGCAGGAGGTGATGAGAGCAGTAGTAGGGAGATGGTAGCAGTGAGGGTGAGATGTACAAGTTTTGGGGTGGAGCAGAGGGGTAAAGAAGTGAGATTTTGGGAACGCAGGAAAGTAATATGAAAAGGAGCAGTAGAGGGGACATATTAAAAGGTACACAGAATGGGACTCAGACTTGTAAGAGATGTTTTCCAGGGTGTTTGCTTGCAGTCTGTCCAGCATGCAGTAGAGTTTCTTGCTCTTGTATCTTCCTGCTGCTTGAGTTATCCTGCTTTAGTTAAACTGCTGTGTTCAACTGCTTCTTAGCACTCCATCAAAAGCAACACTCACTCAAAAACAGCACCCCTATCTGTGACTATTCCCCCCCCCAATCTGTGATCACCCCCCTGAGCTGATCTAAATTTATAGGGAGATGGTCAAATGAGCACTCTTCCCCGCCCTAATTAGGAACTGATAAGGATCACATGAATAGGGGGGATGTTTCTCAAACACAGACCAGACACAGGCCACAGTCATAAAAAGAGTGCAACCAGAGGTGAGAACTAATCAACATCCATAGACAAAAAATATATACACACTATTTGTTCTGAAATTAACAGGAATCTATGCATTGTTACAGTTTAGAGTGGAGAGAGCAGATAGCAGCAATTTACCCAGAGATAGCAGGAGTCTATTCGTTGTTGCAGTTTAGAGTACAACCCAAAATAAATTCTCCAGCTCTTGTCAATCGCAGAATACCATATATGTGTATGTTATTTGAACCCGTAGTACAGCCTAGAAACAATAGTGCGCATTTTGTTTTTGTCTTTTTTTTTTTTTTTTTACCTAAAACACACTGACACTGACATTAACGCTAATTGCGCACTATTGTTTCTAGGCTGTACTACGGGTACAAACAACAAATAACATACACATATATGGTATTTCTGCGATTGTCAAGAGCTGGAGAATTTATTTTGGGTTGTTATATGGAGGTAGGTTATGGTCGTAACAAGAAACACACAGCTAAATAAAAAAAAAAAACAATTTTTTTTTTTACTATTTTGGGCCAGTTTTCCTTTGATAATAAAAAAAAATCAGGAGATATCCATTACCATTTACCACCAAATGAAAGCCCAATTTGTCCTGAAAAAAACAAGGTATAATCCACCTGAATGTACAAAAAGTAGTTGTGATGATATGTACGGTTTTACTATCACATGTCAACGTTGCAGAATTGTGCTTAGGCATTTAGATTTGTTTTACCCTTAGGCGTGAAGGGGTTAAGTTTTAAACTGTTTCTACCTCAAGCCATTCTCTTTGAATAGCTTGCATTAGAACATTATCTATTCCTGTGGTATCTAGCCATCATTTGTAATTTATCTATATTATGTATTATAATTTATTTAATTTAATAAAATGTATTGATGTTTTGTAAGTAATATTTTTTTTTTTGTTTGCTTTACTATGTTGGTGTAATATTGTTTTGATTAATGTATTATAGTGTTTATTAATTTACTCCATTTAAACCATGGACCCCCATACTGTCTACAGACGACACACCAGATAAAATACTGTCGGGATATAGAAAGTTTGCTTCACTTGTCATCTGTGAAACATGGGGCGAAACTCAATTTAAAATCATCCACCGGGCCTATTATTCTTTCTTAGCAAACTCGGCTGTATCTGCCCTCCCAGCATGTCCTTGGTGTGGCTACATTCAACCTACCTTGTTTCATCATTTGTGGGAATGTGCTAGAGTTTCCTCTTTCTGGGATTGAGTTCTACGGTACATTAATCAGTTATACAACATTGCAATTTCCACAGATCCCATGCTCTGTCTTTTCAGCTACCAGGACCCTATGAATTCGGCACATCCTACCTCTCTTCCCCAGTGGATACACATTTGTCTTTTAGTAGCTCGCAGAACCCTTATGCAAGCTTGGATCCATCCAAACCCCCTATCTCTCAAAATGGTGACACAGATGCTAACTAATCTATTCAACTTGGAGAAACTTGACACCATCACTCAAAACCTCAAGTCCACATGTCGCTGTATCTCAAGATGGAGGCGCTTCATGCATGACATAGCTTGATCATTGTCCAGATTCTCCCAAGCCTCAGGTGTGCACGTTTCCATCCCAAATATCTCATTGTCTGAAGAGCATTCCTTTGCAACTGCTGAATTAGCCGCTCATATGGAACCCTTCCGTTATACAGATTAGTATCTCAAGGCACATCTAACCAATACTCCAAAATCCAAGTATCCAACCCACCTTTTAGCCCCACCCCACAGATACCCTCCTCCCTGTCCAAGAGTGGCGTTCACGCTCGTCTCTAAGGTATCTAGCCCTTATAGAAATTCTGTTCAAATGTCTTCTTGTTGAGAGATATACGGTTCTTCAGGCTTCCACTACCAATCTTCCATTTCTAGGGATTTGCTCAG